ATAGGCTAATATGTTTTTCTTTATTATAAAGATGAATGGGTGTCCTCAATTAATTTTTTTTTTGTTTCTTTTTCTAATAAAGGTTTTGGATCAAAGTAATTCTTCCTTTAAAATATAAGAAAAATTCTAAATGGACAGGGCCTGTTGACAGGGGCTGAGGTGGCTCCTCCTCGGCTCCTGAATTTAAATTCAGATCAGGGGCTCACCCCTGTCAACAGTGTTGTCACCAGGCAATGTTTGCGTAGAATCTCTCAAAATATAGCCATGGTTTGAGCCATATTATTTTTCTTAGAATGGATTTTTGAATAGTATATTGATGGGAAATGTGTGGTTAAAAAATAAAGAAAAATTTTAAATTTGCGTGTAATATTATTTTATTGAAGAATGCGTCGTTGAAATGATGTTAAATTACTATTTAAGAATGTATTTTTTTTGAAAAAATGTGGCTCAAACATGCGCATAATTCTTTATTAAGTTATTACTTCAAAATTTTAAATAGAAAATATTATTAATCTCAATAAAGTTGGTCCAAATCGGTTGTAGTCCAGAGTGAAATATGGGTCAAAAGTTTTTTGTTCTATTAGATGAAGTTGGTCCAAAATCTTGATTTGCTCTCGATATATTTAACCCAATGGACTAGTCCAGTCCAAAAGTCTACGTCCAACCTTAGTCTATGTAATCCTCAAGTTTAGTTGATCTTCGATTCTGTCTGAGCCCCATTTCATATTAAAATAAGTTTTATAATAATGATTTTTTGAAGAATGTGTGATTAAAAGGTAAGGAAAAATTTATGTTTAGGTGTAAAATTATTTTATTTGAAAAATGTGTAATTGAAAATGAGTTTGAAAAAAGAAAAGAAAAAAAAAAGAGTTTTAGAAAATGAGGCTCAAACATGGACAAAATGTGAGATAGAAAGGTTGATAAAACTTGTGAGTTCAACAATTGAATGGTTAAAATTAATTGTTTATTTTAATTTAAATTTGCTTTTGTGTAATAAATAACCTATATTTTAAGTTTTCCTACTCAATCACTCTCTTGCTACAATAAAAATTAAAAATTAAACTGAATGTAATAATGCTGTTATAATGCACATTTTTGGAATTAATTTATTACTTTTTGCATACTAATATGAATCATATTTTGAGGTTGTGTTGTGGTGGTTTTAGATGTTATCCGGCGAGGATTATGAGTTCCAGTGGAGATTTTTTAGACAATTAAACTCCTTTGGATGATTATTGCTCCCCTAAATCTATTTCCTAAAATGGAGAGAGTGACCATATTTATGAACGTTAGGTTAATGCTGCTGACTTGGCAACCAAGGTTGATACTACATCAATTGTCTTATAATAAATGCTTTTCTTGTTCGTCGATCGCGACGCACTTTTTTTAGATCGACCGTCAAATTTTCGAGATCTTTCCACATGATTACAAGTGATCAAGATCGTTACCATTCTAGGAGTTTAGGACAATCGATAGCATCAACATCATTAGTCCGCCTACTCATAAGTGATTGACAATTACTTATGAGTAGCACACGTGTAAGCTCGCCATGAGGCAAGTCAAACTGTATGTAGGATATGTGTTTCTAACGTGAAAGGTTACGTCTTTTTGCTTGTCCCAAACCCTTTTAAATTCGAACAAAGTTTGCTTCCCTTCGTTCTTATAAACCCCCATTTTTTCTTTACAAAAGAACTCTTCTTCGTTTTGCCTTCATCCCCTACATAGTATTGGTCAACCTCTATTTTTACATTGTGTGATTGTTTCATCAATCTTTCGATTTAGTAGATAGTCAATTGCAAAGGTAGCAGTTGATTCATCATTTGAGAAGCACCAATGGTGGTCGTGCATTTGCTAGTGAAGGTAAATAGTAGTTGTTGGTCCTAGAAAAAGTCACTTCTCTATCAACAAAATTTAAAGATAGTTTATCGTCATCAAAATTTATAATATAAAATAGAATCTTTAATTTTATGCAAGTGTCGAGATTCAAATACATTTCATTATAGTCTAGCACCATATTAAGACGAAATCGTCAATTTTACTTGAACTTATCGAGTCTTGACCATTTTATCTGCAAACTTGTCAAATAAACTCAATCATGCCACACACTTTATAAATGAGACTAGTTGGATGTTATTTGACGTACAATAATTTCCAAATACCTATTATGAATTTGCACCCCCTTTGGATCGATAAAGCTTTTGGATTCGGGCTAGGTTTTCCTTTGAAAGTTCTATTATATTCGACTATCTATGTTTAAGTAAATTTTGGTGCTTTTTTGGGAAAGCATAAAAAGTTGAACCCAAAGTCAATAATTAATTTTATCCTTATATTCTAATAGAACAATTTTTCAATCACATGGCTAATTTTTTTTATGAAAACATTTGTTAATGATATCCTACAAAATAGTTTTAAAAATTAAAGGCATTTAAAATGATTTTGAATATAATTTTGCGCCAATCTTGCCTATCCATTTATGAGTGATTCCAGCCAAGACTATCGATGGCCGTTCTAGAAGGAAAATGAATCAGCCTGTTATTTAGTTCTAAATTCCTAGACGTATCTATATAATATATATAGATTTATATCATAAAGGATTTTATATTTAATTAATTAACAATAATTAATATTTAATTTTTTGTCAATCAAATGAAGGTAACAGAGCAATTTCCACCTAACAAATCGTTCTACAATTAATTTACATTTGAATTAGCATTCAATTTGGTAAGTGAACCAGCAGCGATTTAACAGTGGAAATTAAAGAAAAGTCTAAATTTTATATTAAGGAAGAATTGATTGTGGGAGAAAGAATTAATTTGGGGAATATATTTCTCAAATTAGGCTTATCACATTAAACCCCCCACTTCATATATAGTTAATGTACACTCTATACACATTGCCTAGCACAAAAACTAAAGAATCAAGAGCAGAAATGGGATTGAATTCTTCTTTTGGAATCATTCTTGTTCCATTCTTCTTCTTGTTTTTTATTGATGCCACCCATGTTTTACCACCAAAATTATTCGACGTGAGAAATTATGGTGCAATAGCAGATGGAAAAACTTATAACACTGAAGTAAGTTCGAGCACAAAAATTATTGTAATTTTTGTCAATGCATTTTCTATATACATATGCAGATTTTCTTGTTTTTTCTCCTTTGGCAATTTTAGGCATTTCTTAAGGCATGGAAAGATGCATGTGCATATCATGGAAGGAGTAGGTTTTATATCGCACCAGGAACATTTCTGCTGGGGTCTGTGACCTTTGAAGGACAGTGCAAGGGCTCAATGGCATTTATTCTTAAAGGCACTCTAAAGGCTCCAACTGAACACAGCAAGTTCTCCACCGCTACCTGGATCAGTTTTCGGTATCTCGATGATTTCACAGTGAAAGGTGGTGGATATTTGGATGGCCAGGGTAAATTTGCGTGGCCCTATAATGACTGCTCCAAGAATTCAAACTGCGGGCCTCTTCCAGTTGTAAGTTCATGAATTCTAGTATTTTCTGAGTTGTTTAGTTAATCAGATAGGAGAAAAATGTTTATGATTCAGGCTTATTGTAGGTGAAAATGACGAAAATAATGGCCTAAGTTCATAAAATTATGTTTTTGATCTTGAAAATAATTTCTTTCCATGAATTATTGAAGATTAAAAGGAAACTGGTAGAAATGAATTTTGGATAATATTCTTTAGTTTCTTTGCTTTTAATTTGTAAGGTAAGTTTTTCTCATTATTTTGTGATTCTCCATTAATACGTATTACAAAAATCTTAAAATGATAGCACTAAATCTAGTGAATGGTTTAATTTTAGTTCTGTTAATTTTTCAGTCAGCCAAAAACTCATTTCATTTAATGTTGATTTTAATTTTTTCAGTCAATGAGTTTCGACTTTGTGAACAATTCAAGAATCCATCATTTGAAATCGATCGACAGCAAAAACACTCATTTTAGCATCTTTGCTTGCTACAACCTGGATATCAACAAGGTTAGAATTACAGCCCCCGAAGATAGTCCCAACACCGATGGTATACGCATTGGCCACTCAAGAAAAATTAAGATTTCTAGTACTGTTATTGGGACCGGTGATGATTGTATATCTATGCTTTACGGTAGTGAAGATATTGAGATAAGCGACGTTGCTTGTGGCCCCGGTCATGGAATAAGTGTTGGAAGTCTTGGAAGAAGTCATGAGGAGGAGTATGTCTCCAGAATAAGTGTAACAAACAGCACCTTTATAGGAACACAGAATGGTTTGAGGATCAAAACATGGTCACCTTCCTTATACAGTTTGGCTTCAGATATGAATTTTGAGGACATATCTATGAACAATGTTAGAAACCCTATTGTTATTGATCAACAATATTGCCCATTCCCACCTTGCGGCATCTGGGTAAGAAAAATTTGCTAGTTTTCAAGTAAATTTGGTCTTTTTGATCAACAATTTTGTGTTTGTTAATCACAATACGTTTCTTGATATTAGGGTCATTCATCGAGTTCGGCTGTTCAGATAAAAAATGTCAAGTTCAGAAACATTTGGGGCACTTCAAATTCAAAAGTTGCCATTGTTTTAAAATGCAGTGGATTGATGCCTTGTCAAGATATCGAGCTTAGAGATATTAACTTGGTGTACAATGGTCCCGGAGGCCGAGCCACTTCTCTATGTTTTAATGTCAAAGGTTCTGCGTATGGCAAACAACTACCTCCTCCTTGTTTCTAGGTGTTTGTTCTTGATAACATTAGTGGATTAGTACTTCTCTTTTCATTAGATATTATGTCTATGATTTCAGACGTAGCATGATGTAACTATTTTGGTAATCATTTTTTTGGTAATAACGGATTGATTTGCATGGAGCTCATGATGTTGTGAGTTTTAAAGATGTTATTCATGGATTCATGGTATTAAATTTATCTTGAGAGTAAGTGTTGATTACTGTGGTTACTAAATGTATTATAAAAATGCCCTTTTATTAATTCACCATTCAAAAACTCAAAACACAGCACTGTTTTATATCAACAAAGATTTATTAATATTTACAAAACATCAGGTCATCTAGTTAATCAAGGTTTCACTTACAAAAGGGCCACGAAACTTGATTGTTTTCCACATGGATTCATCTTTTATGTGACTCTACAAATTTGACAGAAAAATAGAGTTACAACTAATGTATTAAAGTAAAATTTTGTCAAAAATTTAGGTACGACTAGTGCAAATATATATTGAGAATGTCCGGTTGAAGATGAGTTGGAGAAAAAAAATTGGGCTAATATTGTACCTGTTGCAGTCTGTATTTCTAGTGATACTGAAGGACAGTGTCACTCCAAATTTCTGAGGGAGGGCAAGAAGCAAAGAGTCCTTTACACCTGGATATTGAGGAGCAATTTGCTTCAAGCAGTTGCATGCTGGTCGCCTGTCTGCAGTTGTTCTGGTCATTCCTGGAAGGCGGTTCAGCTCATTACAGCAGCCACCAGATGGCCGAGCCACCCGGCCGGTGGCAAAAGAGGCACACTGTTCCACAGCTGGCATGATATTGGCACAGCTAAATGCCTCTGCTGGTTCCACTGGGAAAGAGCTGCACTGAGTGCTAAAAGAACTAAGAACAATGAAACCTTCAACATTTTTTGTCTTTTAGGACAAGATATGGAATTAAACAAAATGACAAACATATATATGGACTCACAAAGATATATTAAAAGATGAATCCATATCGATTGTCTATAATGAAGTGTGTGGTTATCGTTGACTAGTATTCTAGATTTTTTTCCACTTCATTTATGTCTATTTGAATGAAGCCAAGGATCATTTGAGTAGCTAAAATTTGTAGCTTCTCTAACACATTGCGTTATCGTTGCATTAATGAGGCTGATGATTTGGTTAGCAGTTAAAATTTGTCATCTATCGACTGATTTGGAAGTGGATTACTCTTGCACAGAATAGGAGACATTGGTGTCATTATCTTGTTTCGTACTGATATTTTACTCTTCTTCTTATACCACCAGGATCACAAAGGGGAAATCTTCACTTAGATCAACCTGTTAAGAGTGAGTTGAAGTGAATTACTAGTTGCTATAGTGACCTTTTTGGTACTTATAAGTAGAGGGAAACCTGAAACTTCATCCTATCACTGAGAAAATCTTCTTGCAGGCATAAATCAAACACTCTGAAACAGATAGAGAAGTCCATGTACCGAGTCATTTAGAGCATGTTTGAGCATACACAAACATGCTTTTAATAGTTACATGGTTCCCATTTTGTATCGGCCATTTACGAAATTTGTATAGTGTATCGTCTTTCAAAAAAGTACATATAGACTACTTTTAAATGGATGACACATGAAGGATATTGAAGACTAAATTTATATAAATAATTTTACCTAATGTTAAATAACTCGTACAATTTATTTTCAAACTCTTATTTAAATCTTAACCATAATGGGCTCGTTTAATGAGAAGTACATTCTTGGAATTGAGAATGTAGCATCCCACCAGCTGAAAACTCATGAACTTCACCATTCACTTCAATCAAACTACATCCTGGTTGTTTCTCTATCTGCTTATTCTTCATTTCAATTCTTGGCTGCATTGCTTTTTCAAAAACTCCCGAGGCTGCATAAACATTAGACATCAAGACATGGCCGCTTGTCTCATTTTCATCTAACTCGATCAAGTTTTCTGCTGCCCATTTGGCTATACCAATGTTTCGGTGATTCCTACAAGCTGCCAATAGTGAACCCCATATTATAGCATCAGGGCTCATTGGCATACTTCTTATAAGCTCGGCTGCTTCTTCCATGCGTCCTGCTCGGCCTAATACATCAACCATACAACCATATTGTTCAACTGATGGCTGAATTTTATACGTTTCTTTCATCGATGAGAAGTACTTTCTTGCTTTATCAACCTGTCCTGAGTGATTGCAGGCTGTTAGAACGCCGATAAAACTCACGGAATCTGGTTTAAGGTGAGAAGATTCGAGCCTGGAGAAAAGTTCAATCGCTTCATCTTCAAAGCCATTTAGTGCTAATCCCAACATCATTGAATTCCAACACGATATTCCTTTCCTTGGGACAGCCTCAAAAACTTGGCGCGCCAATTGAATGTCTCCGCACTTGCAATACATGTCTACGAGTGCTGCGATTATAATCACATTCAAGTCAACTTTATGCTTCGTTATATAATCATGAATCCATTCCCCTTGTTCAAGAGCTCCTAATTTCGCACAAGCATTCAACAAACTCACCAGTGTAAACTCACTTGGCATAATTTTCTCCTCTTGCATTTTACCAAAAAGATCCAATGCCTCCATCCATTTCCCATTTCTAACATAACCACTCATCATACTATTCCAAGAAACCTCGTTTCTCATTGGCATTTTACCAAATAACCTACTAGATTCATCGACTTCTCCACATCTAGCAAGTCCCATAATAATAGAATTCCATGCAACAACATCTAAATCCTTATCTTCATCAAACAATTTCCTCGCATCCCCCAAAAGCCCACAATTTGCATACATATGTATAACAGAGTTTCGTATGAATGGATCAAATTCCAGGTCTAGTTTAACGATTCTTCCATGAAGCTGAGCTCCATCTCTTGCCAGTCCCAGTTGAGTATAAGCCTTAAAAACCGAAGGATAAGTAAGCCTCTTGGGGCTAATACTCGAATTCACCAACATGTCAATAAACAAAGAAATTGCCTTTTCCGGGGCTGAGCTTTGAGAGAAACCTCTTATTATAGTGTTCCAAGTGAAAAGATTTGGTTTCTCAATATTAGCAAACACTAAGTATGCATAGTTGATGTCACCACCACCGCCCCGGCTGGTGGCGCAAAAGGCCAATACACGGCTAGCTACTATTATGTCTTTGGCTAGGCCGGTTTTGATGAGATGGGCATGAATTGTTTTGAGGTCTTTCATTGTTTTGCATTTGGTTTCTAGCATTGAGAGTATTGGCTGGTCTGAGATAAACTTTGTAATAGAGGTTGATGGTGGATTGCAAAAGCAAAAACATGGTGGCATTAAATTTAACAAGAATGTAGCTAAAATTATGTAGCAAAACTATCAAAATTTAGCTAGAATTCTTACCAAAGCATGGTATTGTGTGGACAAATTGGGCAATTTGTAGAAATAGTAATGGAGGTAGAGTGAGAGCAATCAGCAGCCTCATCTGCTATAATGGATAAGGTGATTCGAGCCACTGATTGAAATAATAAGTCATGACAAAACTACAATAGAGTCTCATTCTTAAAAATCCATTTTTCTTCAAATTTATTTTCAATTACACATTCTCTCGATAAAATAGTTTTGCATGTACACACTCTCCAAAAAAATTATTTTTTACAAAATTTATTCTCGAAAAATGGGACTCTAACAGGGATTGAGTAAGAGAAACAGACGACAAAGTTGATTAATTGGCCCACGTATTACCACCACCCATCCACCCCCTCATTCTAGCTAGCAGCTATGGCCTTCTCTCGACCCGTCTTTGCATCCTCACATTAGCTTGCAAATCTCAATATAATTAGATTTTTCTTCTTCTTCTTCTCTCTTTTCATTAAATCGAGAATATAAGTATAATCATCTTTATTCAAAAATATTATGGAGATAGATACCACGTCAATATTAATAATCATCAGCCACTATTAACTTGAACAAGTCATGGTCTCTTTCGCCCCATATGGGATGTCCGAGTTGGTAGAGTAGGTGAGCACGAAGGCATTTGATCACGAATTCGATTACCCCTACTAACACTTTTTCAGTCAAGTCTGTCGCACAGAACTTGCCTAGTGCGGTTTACTTGACTGGTGTGGTTTGCAAGCTATTGCGTCAGTCCGAGAGTTTACCCAGTGTGTAGTGATTGCGATTTTCCCGTATAAAAAAACAAAAAAAAGAAAAAAGAAAAAAAAAGTCATGGTCTCTTTCAAATACATTCTCTATTTAATTAGTTTAACAATAATCGAATGGGAGCAACAATAGAGAAGAAACTTCATATTATCCCAAAAAGAATCTTAAAACCATATAATATATTATAGCATGTAGAATTTTCTACATCTATTGGTCAAAAGTTCCTATTTAGGCGAAGATTTTGGAAGATTATCTGTCACTTTACAGATATTTTAGCTTCACAGTACTTACTATAGGGTCCCTTGATGAGCAAAAATCAACCCTAAATGGGACAAAAGGTAGCCGTGCGCAATTATTGTGAAATGTTTTGTGGGCATCCATTATACATAAATCTCTCTCAGACAAAGCACAGTTACTTTTGAAATTGGATTACATGATTAGCGGTTTGATTCACAAGAATATTTTTTACAATTTATCGTTCACTTCGAGTTTTCAGTGGGATTGAAAATTTGAACTATGCTTCATTTACAAAAGATAGTGTCTTGCACTAAACATTTATTTTTCTTCACCATGAGTGTCAATGCACAAGAACTAGTAGCACTTAGGCATGGGACTTATCAACTGATATATATTACATATACTAATGGAAGAAATCAATTATATATACAGTTAGAGTATCTTTTCACGAGACTTGTCGTCACATGTGAAATATATTTAGGATAACCAAACTTTTTTGTATCATAAAATATGTTATATGAAGAGTGAAATCTGATATCCTTATTAGATACTAGACCTCATAAGAAAGAAAATAGATTTACGAATGGATAATATTCTAATATCAAATCAAAATCAATCAGGATCAAACATAATATTGTGTTGAACTTTTTGTTTGGCAAGGTATTAATTATCAATAGTCATAGCTTTCGTAAAATAGAGAGGATATACGAGACGCCTATTAAGATTTGAATTTCCATATTAAAAGATCAATTCTGTTAAGAGGAGTAACTTCAAACCTTATAAGTTGGTTTATGTACCTCTAGAGTGAATTCTCCAAATGGTCACTGAACTTTACAAAAAGTTTTTAAACGATCGCTGAACTTTAAAAATCACCTAAATGGTCACTAAATTTTGCAAAAAGTTTCTATAGGGTCATTGAACTTTAAAAGTCACCTAAATGATTACTGAACTTTGCAAAAGGTTTCCACGTGATCATTGAACTTTGTAAAATTTTTTCCAATGGTCATTGAATTCAGTGACTCCTAGGAAATCTTTTGCAAAATTCAGTGACCATTTAGGTGATTTTTAAAGTTCAGTGATCCTGTAGAAACCTTTTGCAAAGTTCAGTGACCATTTAAGTGAATTTTAAAGTTCAATAACCTCTTAGAAATCTTTTGCAAAGTTCAATGACCATTTGGACAATTCACTCGAACCTCTACAAAACTTTTGATTTTAGGAAGAGTCAATGTGGGAGTTTTGCTTGACAAAGTCATGAATTGATCTCTCTTGAGAGTTTTTTTAATGCATCTAGAGGAGTCTTCATTAGATGACCTACTGCTCACAATAAGCCTTTTAGTCTACCAGTCATTGCAAGATAATCAAGAATAAGTATTGCTTGGTATGCATGAAATAAGTGCTTCTTAAAATAAAATTTTATCAATTTTTTAACCTATCAAACTTCAATTTAACCACATATTTTTGGAGTCCTACTTTTATCAACTTTTTAACTACATATTTCATAAACTTTTATTAAAATCTGCTAAAATGTTGTCCAAAGTCTTGTCCTAAAAATGATAATGCTTCCTCACTCTAAGTAACATTCACCAGGAAGCATACTACCACTACCTTGTCCAGTCTTAAAGGAAGAAAAAACTTGACAATATAGTTTCAACCAAAAAAGAGAAGAAAAAAAAAATAAGAAGGTGAAGAAATATGTTGCCAAGAACCATTATTTAGTCGATGGTGAAGGTTGCCCTACTAAAATAGAAAAAAGAAACAAATATATGAATATGATCTAAAAAAACCATTTCATTGATAGATAGTTTTTGTCCCTATTTTTGATAACATATGTCTTCCTAATACTATTCTAATTAGTAAAAATTGTGCATTGGAATAAGAATCACAAAATGATAATAGATAGTGATATACACATGGGGTAAAAAATTTGAGGGAACTTGTGCACTATAAGTGAACAACTTTTTGAATGAAATTCGACTCTACTACCCAAGTAATATAAAATCCCTTTGTTTTAAGATTAGGATTTCATTGTCACGTCATTTCTTTTTTCTTTCATTTAGATTGGAACCCTTGAATTCACTGAATCTTGAGATTTAGAAAACATTTGTAGCCTTGGTTAGTTGCCTATTTAACTATGGTAGCAAGTTGTCTTAGTTTGTCAATAGTAGTCATTCGCCAAACAAAATGAAGCATAGTAAGCTAGTGTGTGATAAATTGGTCACACGTCACTTTCTTAAAAACGAGGATCACTACAACATTTAACCAAGTACATACACAAGTCCAAGGACCTCCATTACTTTTTCCTCCTAACTCACTCGTACTGTAATTTAATAACTTGATGCAGTCAGAACCCAAATGAATAGAATCGATGACATGTTGAAATTTGAACGAGACCAAAGGGTCATCAAGTGCAAGATGAAGTCTTTCTATTAAATTTATCCTAATTCTATATAATGGTACAAGATAACTACCTATAGTGTTTATTCAGTTTCCTCCACTTTGGGTGGCTTCTGGTTCTGGGTACTAGATTGAGTCCTATAAATAAAAAATAAAAAATAAATTGGTTTTAAAACACAAAAAGTTGAAAAAGAAAAATTGCTCGTATCATCACCATCATTACTATCATCACCAATTCAGCCCCACAGGTCCACTCTTAAATTCCAAACTACTCCTTCCTCTTTCACCGTCTTCTCGGTAGATTATGAAAAAGGTCCACACACTTTAGTTTCTTTTGCACTTTCAGCCCCAACGTTTTTTTCTAGTTACTTCGTTCCCAAGCTCTAGAAAATAAGATCCATTCAATTCATCCAAATGGATAATTTCCAGCCATTTGACCAACATATCCAAACTTAAAAAGGACAAAATTGTTATTCATTATATATAATTAGATTACTAAAAGAAAAACTCAGAAAAAGCAAAAATAAAAGGGTAGAAAAGAATTTAAAAAACACAAATTTTTTTTAAAAAAAAATTAATAATATCTTCCTCTCACCCCATCGCCATCACCACAGCCACCTCCACTACACCACTCCTCTCAGTAAAGCCAAAATTAGGGTGAAATTATCTCTTTGTTTGTTGCCAATTCAACTCTTATAGCATTGTGTCACCCCCTCCCCGGGCGGCGGCAGCATGATGACGATGTAATGGTAATGGTGTGGTCGTGTTGGTAGGTGTTGATGATGTCTAAAGGTAAGGCTCGGGGGGTGGAGAATGACAATATTTTAATTATTTTTTTTCATTTTTTTAATTATGAAAATTTTGGCTCGTCTTATTGGTTACATGAAGATGTGATCAAAAGAAGCAATAGATGTCCCTCAAGGACACTAAGTGCCTATTTGAGTCCATTTTTTTGGTTTAAAATGCATTTTGAAATAGTATTTTGTAGAAAATTTATGATTAAAATAAAAAATTGCATGTAATATTATTTTATTGAGGATGTGTGATTGAAAATAAAAGAAAAAAAATGTATTCTAAATATAATGGGTACCAAACAAGGTAAATATTTTTCAAGAGAATTGTGTCATTTAATTTTTGAATATGCAGGTTCAATGAAAAATGGCTGAAAATCATCTATTGGACAATTGACGCCTATTTTCCAAAGGTTGAGAACAAAGTAACTAAATAAAAATGTTGGAGATAAAATTGTAAGCAAAATTGAAGGTTCGAGTCCTTTGCCTTAATTTTAACCCTTCTCCTCCAACTTTTTCCACCATCTTTCTTCTTTCAATGTCTTAAGTTCCCATTCACTCTCTCTCAGACACACGCACACGCACACGACTCGACACAAAGATTTTTTCATAGTCATCAAGATATGTATTTTATACATATATATCATATGATNACACACGCACACGCACACGACTCGACACAAAGATTTTTTCATAGTCATCAAGATATGTATTTTATACATATATATCATATGATGATAGACACAAAATCCTTCCCTTTGCAAAGAATGCTCATGTTTTGACTTGGTTTAGTTTGTCCCTTTTTTTCTGTTTCAACCTAAGCTCGAGCTCACTGGAAAAAGAGCTGAAGAAGAAAGAAAGCATGCATAGAAGAGTATTTATTAGTTGTCTGAAATTCTTGAATCTGTCTGTTCTTATAATTTGTTCAGGTAAATAAATCTTTCCTGGATTTTTTCATTAAATGTTTACAGTTCTACATCTGTATGGATTCTTGATTGTTGGCTTTAACATAGGAATCTTATTCTCCGATTTACAAGCTAAGAATCCCTTTTTCCTTGATTCTTTCTCTCTTCAATCGATTGTTTGGGAGTGGAGTATATAGATTCTATGAACTGCATTTTAAATCAAACATATAGATTCTGTCTATTTTCTTCCATGAATTCCAAACTTAGGAAATTTAAATTTAAATTCTTAAGAATTGAATGGCTTCTAAAGATGAAATCAGTGTTTAGATCATCAAAATTCTATTGGTAATTTATTTTTATTTTTATTTTATTTTATTTTGCTTTTTGGAGTCTCATCATTGTATAGGACAGTGATTCTTATTCATGATTACAATTGTCAAGCACAATTGACATTCTTGTACATGATAATAGACTAAATTTTAACATTTTCCTTTTAATTCTGTTCAGTATTGTCCGAGAGTGTGTTAGGGACAAAAAAATTGGACACCTCTACCTCGATTTCTGCAAGAAAGATGGACATTACTACTCCACTAACTACAGTTCCAACTGCCAATCCCAATACTCCGACCACCACCAATCCAGTACTGAATCCGACAGTTTTTGGCCCCAACTCGCCTAGTGTCATCAATCCAGCCAATCCCATAATGCCACCGGCCGCCGCCACAACCACCACGGCCAGTGGAAGCTGGTGTGTTGCTAGCCAATCCGTGTCACAAACTGCATTACAAGTTTCATTAGACTATGCTTGTGGCTATGGTGGCGCTGATTGTTCGGCAATTCAGCCTGGTGGCAGCTGCTACAATCCGATCACATTGCGTGATCATGCCTCGTACGCTTTCAATAGCTATTATCAGAAGAATCCAATCCCTGCTAGCTGCAATTTTGGTGGCACTGCTGTAACCACCAGCACTGACCCAAGTAAGCTATTTTGTTTTAAGCAAAAAATAAGCAATTTTTATAATGCTAGTTAGATCTTATTAGCGAGATGATCATTTGTCTCGATTGTTATAAAATGAAGTTTAGTGATCGAGTTGATTGAAAATGTAACAAATTTAATGACCTTTAGAATCTTTTACCCATTAGCTCGTAATTCGATGCAATTTTGAATAATTTCTTACAAAGAATTTGAAAAAAGAAAAGTTAGCACTTCATTTTCTTTATGTAATCTTTTTTCTTTATTAAATGTACTTTATTCTTATGCAGGTTATGATACATGTCAATATCCATCGACTAGGTGAACTTTAACTACTAATATTTCTATTAGTCCATCTTCTGTTATTTTCTTTATCTATCAAGAAAACATAACCTCATCAGCATTTAAATTTGCAGCACGAGTTCATCAGTACTGAACGCCACCAATTCAATTGGATCACGAGTTTTTGGCGCGGGACCAATCAACCCCTTTAGCTCAGCACCTGCAATTCCAAGAAACTTCCATGATTTTCACTACATCTTGATATTAATCATTCATTTTCTGGTTCTAAAATCAGATGCAACTACTAATTTAGGTTGATCCAACAGTGCTTTATGACTTCTATCTGCGAAAAAAAAAAGAATATCCGTATCAAGGACAGATTTTTAGTTTGGTCACAAGAATATAGAAAAATTCACATTTGTTTGCAGGCAAGTGACATACCTAGAGGCCATGATGTCAAATTGGTGCTGTTTTTAATCACTTGCCAAAGTGACATCTTTGTGGTGAAAATCACACGAAAGAATATGTAGAGAGGAAGAATTTTGCTGGTTTTGTAGTGCTGAACAACTTTCTTGTTCTTAGTTTTACAATTTTTTTATTTTTTTCTGAGAATTGAATATGAAAATCTTGATTGGGAACAGTGTAAAAGGCAGTGTTCTACGGATGAACTTTGGAAGGGTCCCCATGCCTTTAGATTTTCTCAGACTTTGGAACAAAAATGGTGAATCATTGGGTCATTGTGTCTTTCTTTTACCAGTTTTGTTAGTTTTATGTTGTACTAAAGTGTGTTTATCTCTCTTTTTCTTGCATCAACAACTCTAGTACATGTTCAGATTTTACCTTAGGCAACCATGGAAAAGATGCGAATAGAGGTGTAAAGTGTTAGCCACTTAGCCTAGCTCTCATTTCATTCGGGGCATGACATGGTTGTGTCAAGTCAAGCATCTTCGACATGTGACTATCGAAAGCTTTTTTATCATTAAAATGGTGAACCATAGCAAATGTTTTGATTGTTTAGAAGGGCATGAGCTGCTTACGAAAATTTATTGGTCAACATAAGTCTGCTCTTCAAACACGAGTTGAGGGCTATGAGTATGATTGTCCGCTAAAATTTGATTTCACTACGATCAAATTAGCCTCTCCAAACAGGTACTCTACAATGATGTGCCATTTTCGGATCACACAATCTGATGTGACAATAAAAATTATAATTGACAAGTGACTAAAGCTACGATTAATCGAGCTAATACAACAAGCATGCATTAAGCTCATGGTTTAGGCGATGACTGAGTTTAGAAGACCAAGCTCATAAGAAGTGTGTGAGACAAACAAGAAATTTATAAATTGGAGTCTAGATAACACCATAGAGTATTCTATTTTATTTTTCGCTGGATCTAGACACCTCTTCTTATTATACAGTATAAAGCAACTAAAAATTTTGCACGATTAATTTTTGTGTAAGATAAATCGTCTCATGCAAAAGAAAAAAATAAAAAGACATCATGAAATGAGATCCTACTCCCCATCGAACTCGAAGATTTCTATTGTCATTAATTTCTTTTCTGAAAATTGGTCGACTAAAGTATTGGAGTCTTTTTAACAAAGAGTCATCACATTGATTCCAATGTCAAACATATTCTCTTACGCCCCTATCTGAACCACCTCGGAACGCCCACTACCATATATTCCGACCTCATAAAGACATGTGCGAAGTGTTTTCGAAGTGATATCACCAATGACCACAACCTAGTAGCACGCTGCGAAAGTACAGGCGATCCCTACTACTGACCTGACCGAAGCGCCTCGACCTTGGGGATCCCTGTTAGAAGATCCGCCGTCAATTTCAGAAAGAGATTTGTGCCAAAATCGTCCCTGCACCTAAAGTTTAAATTGATTTGACGTCTCCATGAGGCTAGTTGATGTGACTTATCAACTTTATGTCAATTCAACTCAGGAGAAACAAGCTGTCCGCCCACTCTACAAACGCGACTGATTGACGCCTATGAGCAGACGCCTCATACCGTCAGATGTATACACGTATCCCACATCCAACGATTCATCCCACCTATAAATACCCAAGGTTTGACAAGAGGCAAAGATAATGAAACTCTTACTACATAACACTCCATAGCAAGCTTATATATTTTTTCCTCCCCCTTATCGTTATTTTGCACAACTCTTGGGTACTGTTCCGACCACCTAAACCTGACTTGACCGTCGAAGTGTATACGGCCGCCACCACCCCCGCTGGTCCTGGTCGTGTGCGTCTGACCGTTCGCTGATTGTGCGTAGGGAGAAATATGTAGAGTAGCTCTCAATTCGCCACGTGAAAGGTCCAATGTTCGAGGTCAACAGATTGATGCCGTCTGTGCGAACACTTCTCGTTTGAAGTTCTGCATTCTCCACCGGAGAAGTTATCGGAAAACTAGTGACTAACCCTGAAAATGGGACGTTCTTGAGAAAGAACAAAGTCGAGTTACAATCCAAGTTCTCACCACCCTTGAAAGAGAAGATAGGATGAGCTATAGCCATGAAGACGACAACCCCATGAGAGAGGCCTCTGAGGAAGAGGTACTCCATAACAATGTTACTCATCAGAGACCACATCACCTGCGTCGCCGAGGTCGAAGAACAGCCATACTCACTGAAGAAATGGCTCAGATAGCTACGGGTATGAGAGATATCGCAGCTCAGAATATGGCAATGCATGAACTCCTCATGGAAGCCCAGGGTCATTAGGGCTATCAAATGCCCCAAGGATCTTATCCGGTGCGGGAAGCCCCTGTATCTCACTCCTGAGGCCACATGAGCCGGCATACAGAACATTCCCTCGAAAGAGAGATGATCGTCGAAGCCACATCTTATGTGCAAGGGAGCCAACCATCAGAACCACACTTGGGGGACAATTTTCCTCAAGAATACAAGGAACAAAGATCGGCAAACGTCTTTGACCGGATAGGGGAGGACCCTAGCACTAGGGTCCGTCCGATGAGAAGATCGGTTCGTCCAGATCAGGAACAAGAGCAGGCTCCTCCTCTTCCTCCTAGAAATAGGAGGGACATGAGGAACCTAGTCGATTGGGGAAGTCGAGGAGAAGCGCCTCCACCTCCCCAGAACATTCAAGATGATGAAGGGTCAAATGGGCCCTTTCGATCTTATGAGATTGAAGATGATGATGATAACCTCCCTTTCTCAAGGGAGATCCGAAGCTTTCTAATGCCAGTAAATTTCATGCCCCCTAAGATCCCCAAGTATGAAGGAAAGGGAGACTCGGAGAAGCACCTCACCAAGTACATGACACAGATGAGCCTAAGGGGAGTCTTCCATTTAACACTAAGCGGGGCCGCCAAAATATGGTACAGCAGGTTTTCTCCCCTAAGCATCAGAAGTTGGCTAGATTTGAAGAAATCATTTTTGAACTAGTACCTCTCACGCAGGGAAGGAGAGGCACTAGTGCAACGCCTACAAGATATGAGGCAGGCCGCTGGGGAGATGCTGAAAAGCTATCTCGCCAGGTTTATAGACGAAATCACCTACTGCGAACAGGTCACTGACAGAGAAGCCCTTCCAGCCTTGAAAGGTGGGCACAACATGAACACTTTGTTCTGGAGGGACGTGCACAGCAAGAATCCCTCCACATATGACGAGCTGGTGGAANCAATGATCACTTACATTGTCAACGAGTCACAATCAGCAGATAGGATGGCCCCAATTACCTTCTCCCAGGAAGACTCAAAGGGGATTCACCACCCCCATTGTGATGCATTGGTTGTAAGAGCCGTAGTGGCAAGGAACGAATTAAAACGCATGCTCAGCTCCGTGAACATATTGTTCAGCTCCACTTTTGACAAAATACAAATTGAACATGGGTTGATCCCCATGACCGACCTACTATTCGGATTCACTAGGGACAGCATCATCCCACGAGGGCGGATCACTCTGCCCGTCGGGATGGGTTCAGCACCCCTAGTGGCCCAGCACTTCATGAAATTTTTGGTGGTAGATCATAGATCGGCTTATCATGGAGTATTGGGCAGACCCGCTTTGAAAGATCTTTGGGCTGTCACGTCCATCCACTACTTGTGCATGAAATTTCCAACCGAACATGGGATTGCTACGGTTCGAGGCGATCAGATGGGCTCCAGGGCATGCTACTTAAACTCGTTACGAAAGTTCGAGCCCCGAACTATTAATGTAATCCTAACTGAGGTTCCCGCTGAAGTTAGTACGAACGTGGAAATGCTCGATGCCCATGAACAAGGGCATACCTCTGAACAAGAGGGAGACGTCGACATGGAAGAGGCCCCTGAACAACGACACTCCCTTGATGAGTTAGATCCCTGAATAATTGACTCTGAACCAAATGCGACCCCAATGGAAGAATTGGAGACTTTTCCCTCCAATCCAGAAGACCCCAGTCAGGTCTTGTGTATAGGAAAGTCATTGTCCCCTAAAGCAAAAGTAGAGATGATAAGCTTCCTGAAAGGGAACTTGGATGTCTTCGCATGGAAACATGAAGATGGTGGGAATAGATCCTAGGATCAGTTGCCATCACCTTAACATCAACCCCTCCTATGCCCCCCATAGACAGAAGAGGCGTGCTCTCAATCCGGAAAGGTATGAGGCACTGAAGGACGAAGTGAACAAACTTAGCCGCAGTAGTTTTATAAGAGAGGCCCTCTACCCAAGGTGGATATCCAACACGGTCCTGGTGAAAAAGCCCAGTGGAAAGTGGAGGGTACGCGTAGACTTCACGAACTTAAATAAGGTGTGCCCGAAAGATAGCTTCCCACTTTCAAGAATAGATCAACTTGTGGATTCTACTGCTGGACATGAGCTACTGAGCTTCATGGATGCATATTCAGGGTATAACCAGATACTCATGTTCCGACCTAATGAGGAAGCTACGTCGTTTATTACGGACAGGGGTCTGTATTGCTACAAAGTCATGCCCTCCGGATTGAAGAATGCTGGAGCTACATATCAGAGGTTGGTCAAAATGATGTTTGCCGAACTCATTGGCAAAACCATGGAGATCTACGTTGACGACATGCTGGTCAAAAACCTCCAGGCAGCCGAACACGTAAGTTACCTCGACCAAACTTTTCAGATACTTAGAAAGTATAATATGAAATTGAATCCCCTCAAGTGCACTTTTAGAGTGGCATCGGGTCAGTTCTTGGGGTATATTGTCAATCAAAAAGGAATTGAGGCAAATCCAGTGAAAGTAATGGCCTTGCTAGAGATGAGGTCACCCCAGAAATCAAAAGAGGTCCAGAGTCTCAACGGTCGGATAGCCGCACTCAGTCGCTTCATCTCCAGGGCCACAGATAAAAGCTTACCTTTCTTCAATGTACTGAAACAAGGAAAGAAATTTCAATGGACTTCGAAGTGTGAAGAAGCCTTTGAGGCTCTGAAAAAGCACCTTGGAGAGGCGCCCCTCTTGTCGAAACCTCAACCGGATGAGTTTCTACTGCTGTACTTAACGGTTTCGGACGTAGCAGTCAGTGTCGTCCTAGTCAGAGAAGAAAATGAACGCCAATTGCCAGTGTACTACATCAGCAAAACACTTCTCCAGCTGAAACACGCTACCCAAACATGGAGAAACTGGCACTCGCCCTTATCACAGCCTCAAGAAAACTGAGGCCATACTTCCATGCCCATTCAATACAAGTTCTCACCAACTTCCCACTAAAGCAGCTGATGTAGAAAACAAATGTATCAGGACGCCTGCTAAAATGGACAATCGAGCTCAGTGAGTTCGATCTAACGTTCCGACCTCGACACGCCATCAAGGGTCAGGCCCTTG